AGTGCAATCAAGAATTACAGAAAAATATTTTGCCTTTTTTATTTTTTTAATAATTGCACTTTTTACCTCGGATGCCAACATTTCAATTAATTCATTTTGAATTTTATGACTAAGATAATGATTACGTGTTTCTTTGTCTTTAATCATTCGAAAATGTTCTTTCATTATCGGATCCCACTCAGCAATTGATTCAATTACACTTAAAAAATTACCATTTGAGTTTTCATAAATTTTTTCATTTGTACCACGAAAAGCTAAGTTATTTTTTGCTAAACACTTGACAGTAGAAATAATTCTAACCATAACTTCTTTCCAATGTTCGGTATCTTTTTTAATCATTTCTTGTAGCTTTTTATCAATTGTTTCATTTTTATTTAACCTAATACGCGTTTCAGTCCAAGTTGTTAAACAAATCATATGATCAGAACTATTTTCATGTTGTTTTAATGTTTCACTAAGACGCTTCCAATCTTTAATTCCTCCGGTTGCCAAATTACTTTTAGTTCGAACGGTTTTAAAAAGCTTACAACAAAAACAAAAAACTTTATCAAGTTCTTTTGAATACACTAACCATTTTCTATCAAAACAATCACCATTTTTTAATTTTCGTATAAAAAATCACAAGAAAAATGTCTACCAAGTGCATATTTTGGAAAAATTGTGTTTGTATCAATTTCTCTATTTGGCCCTTTTTTCTATTAGTAAATCTTTCATTTCTGAATCTAAATCATCCCATACTCTAGGATCAAAAATATTAAAATCACTTGGTTTGTCTTTCTCAACAAAGTCATTTTTTTCAAAATCATTAGAAATATCAACCGAATCATTGGAAGTACTTGGTGGAATATTAAAATTATCATTTTTTTCAAAATCACTATCATTTTGATTTCTAACCAAAAATTTATTCAAAGACCCTCTTAATTCATTAGCCTCTTGTTGTTCTTTTTTTTTTCGTTTTCTATTTTGTGCACCGGATGGTTGTTTTCGGGGAATCATTTTAAAAACACAGCAAATCTAGTTATAAGCAATAAACAAGGAAAGATACAACCTGAAGAACACACAACAACAAAATTTGAACAACCTTCACAGAATCACAGTTGTCAAATATCATAACAAAGAAACCTCCTGATTCCTGATTCACATCACAAAAACAAGAAACAAAAACACAAAAAGTTTACAAAATTGAAATTACATAAATTAAAATGAAACAGTAAAATTAAAATCAGAAGAAGAGTAGTAAAGAACTCACCCAAATCAAAAAAAAATCACAATCACATTGCTTTTTCGTTTTCCAGATTTCACCTTTCAGAATTCTGATTCAATGGCTTCTGATTTCAACCTTAAACATGGGAGAAATCCAATCTTAAATCGAAATCACTCAAATCAGATAGAATGAAACACGTAATCAGAAGACAAGTAGAGAACTCACCAAAATTTAAAAAAAAAAAAAACGAAATCAGATCATGGTTTTTCGATTTCCAGCTTTCAGTATCCCTTCAAGCCTCCTGATTATATATTCACATCACAAAATCAACCATTGAATCAATCACTTAATCAAATACTGAGATACAATGAAGATATGATGGTTGATGTCGGGAATTTTAGAAAGAAATAAGAAACAGACAAAAGAAAAAAAAACTCACCGATTAAGTATACTTACGTTTTCCTCTTGCTTCAGGCAGAAAAAAATCGAAACCAAATCAAAAATCAAACCCAAATCAAGCACAGTAATTATGAATCCTTGATACAACTCAGAATGAAGGAAAAAAATTGAATGGTACTAGCAGGCAGCAGCAGTAGTCGATTTGCACAAATTGGGAATAAGATAGAGAGAGATATAGAATAAGAAATAGAGAAAGAGGAATAGAAATCGGACCACACTTCAACGATTATGACTTATGAGTCTCGATCTCCACGATTTTCAAGGGTTCCCGTTACAAATTTGACGATTGAAGTTCTCAAGAGTTATCTTGGCGCTCCATAGTTACTTTCCGCTTTCGCCTTCAGCTCCTCGTTTAGAATCCACGTTTCTTCTTGGACTGGTGGTGTTGGACTTAACTTTTGGGCCAAATGTTCCGAAATATATATATATAGCATAACTTGTTGGAGAAATATTATGCCCCCTTATTTTTGATGCTCTGGGCCTAGGCCCAACTCGCCCATGTATTGGGCCGGGCCTACCAACTTTCTCTCACCAAAATCTTCATCCCTACAATTTGATTTCTAAAGGAGTCCAATAAATTTAGAATCATATCTACGACTTTAAAGATAGACATGTAGTATATTCCCAAGCTACCTAAAGTCGTGTTTATAAGGGTGAGCCTACTTCCCAATAGATAGAGTCATAGCCTTCCAATTATAGAACTTCTTGGTGAATTTCTCCAAACATTTCTTCTAGCCTTCATCTTGTTTCACGTTTTCTCTAAGTCGTAGACAAGGAAAATAAAAGGTAATCGAATCGCAAACTAATGATCCTCGTGTAATTTTCCATCTCTTTAAAATTGACAACCACACTTATCAACTTACTTTTTTGCAAAATAATTTTCAACTCAGAAGCCAAGAAAAATTATCTAAGAATCCAAACTAAACCTCGTGTTTGATCAATGACCAATCACAAAGAAACATGACACCATCCACATGAAAATAGGAACCTCCATACTTTGTGCTTGACCCTTAAGAAACCATTTTTTGGAAACGGCTTTCACTAATTGATGCTTAAAGACCTTTGAATTAAGAACCATATGGTAGGGTGGGAATTATTTGGTCCGGAACCAAAAAACCCGAAAACCAAATCGAATCGAAATCGATTTTAGACCGAACCATATACAAATTCGGTTTTTGGTTTGGTTTGAGACCAAACCGAATTGTAAATTTGGTTTTTGTTTCGAATTTTGGTCTCATGAAGTTTAAACCAAACCGAACCAAAAAACCGAATTTCAGAAGTCAATTAATTAAAAAATATATTTTATATTTATATTAAATAAAAGTATACGTTATAAAGTAAAAATCATTTTAACCCCATTTACTCTTTGGATCATTTTGTATAAAAGTTTAGATCTTTCTATTTGCAACTTTAGTTTTATTTCAGTTTATGTTTGAAATTTTTTTAAGTTAATATTTGGTTTCCTCGGTTTTCAAACCGAACCAAACCGAATTAGAATTCGGTTTTCGGTTTGGTCTAGAGAATTTGAATTTGATTTGATTCGGTTTTCAAGTTGGACTAAAAAAAATTTCAAACCGAGGAAACCGATTCGAGGAAACCGAAAAACCGGAAAACCGAACCGATTCCCACCCCTATTTATCCAACAACGTCATTTAATTTGAAACTCATTTGTCGGGGATCCATTTATCAAAATAGAATCCATGGATGAATTAAGAGCCATATTTATCCAACCACGTCATTTAATTCCAAATTTCATGTTTTCAACAGCTTCATCAAAATATTACTAAGACAACAAATCGTAGGCTTTTTTTTTGAAGTCGAACCTAAACAATACTAATTTTTTCAATGCTTTCTATACCAACAATGTAAGAATAATTTTTTCAATGGTTTCTATTTTCTAATATATTACAATTCATAAAAGTATTTTATTTATAGTCATTAGCGGTTTGAGGCTTGACTTGAGCTTTCCGTAAGCCAGCCCATTTTACTTCAGCCCACATATTAGAAAGTTAAGCTGTCGTTTTGTCAATTCTGTATAGACATTTTGACGAAATCGGAAAGAAGAACGAGAGAGATGAGTGGGAGAGAAGTTCCTCGGAGGGAGAGTCCGTGGGGATTACCCGACGGAGACACCCGACAACCCAAGGCTCACAGATGCAACGATCGCATTGAAGATGTTGTCCAAGTTAGTTTCTAATTTTCCTTACTTCTCCTTTCTTTGATTTGCCTGCAAATCTGTCATTGCTGTTGCCTCGATGGATTTGTGAATTTGCTCCTCACCTTTTAGGGTTTATTGATGTTTTTCAAGTGATTTGTGGACTGTGGTGTTCCTTTTGTGGTTAATTGAGAAAATTGGGGTTTCGTTCTATTTGAAACTGTGGTTGCACTGTATGATTTTAGTATAAACGAACTTGTCGAATAAGAAACTTCTCAGATTCCTTTATTGTAGTTGGATAGATCTATAGGAACACCAGGTGCAATCTGTATAAATCAGTTCATTGTAGTGTAAGAAATCTATAGGAAAACTAGATGCAATTTGTATAAATCAGTTCAAATTGTAGTGTAAGAGATCTATATAGGAAACTAGGAGCAAGTGTTATCATTTCATTTGTAATCTGAGTAGCCTTAAGTGAGTGATTGCATGATCTCCAGAGCTTAATTATTCTTACATTGAGTATACATATTAGAATTAAAGCTTTGAAACTACTTTTAACTCCTATACTAATACTTTTCTAAATGACTCTTTTCATTGTTCCATTGACACAATTAGATTGGTGAACACTTCCATGGGTTTCCATATATTTTGGTACCTGAATTACTTGAACTTGTTTGGCATGTAGGCTTGTTTTGAAGGTAACCCTTTTAAGACAGTTCCTGGCCCTTTTAAGCTTTTCTGGCGTTGCATGCAATCCAAACCCGGGTAGGGAGGGTATTTGTATTCCTTCTTTTTGATTGGCTGTTTTCTTTTCTCTTTTTTTTTTGGCTAAATATGTTTGTTATATATTCGCAGTGAAGAGCCTACTGAACCATTTTACTATTTGCAATTAGCACCACCAACTAGAGAAGTCAAGCTCGAGTAAATGCAACAAGATAGATAGTTTCTATCTCTTCTCTTCTATTCTCTTTATAGGGGATAATAAAATCCTTTTGTGCTTTTGTTCTGGGATCATGAATAAAGTTTCTATCTCTTCACCTTATTCTTGTCCGATTTCATTACATGATCACAAACACATAACATCACAACCGAAAAATGTACACTTGCATGCCCTCCAAATATTACATCGAGTGGAAAAACGTTATTTATTATATGGTATACATTATATTATATGATCACAATGACCCCATTGTTTTAAAGATACAAAACAAAAAGACTAAAATGGCTCTCTTTTTTTGGAAGTGGTTATGATAACCAAACTTCGCGAAGAAGTTCATAACGTGAGTTGACTGCAACACGAGATGTTTGGTTTGTATGTTGACCGTTTCCATTAGTTTGTGATGAAGGTAGTTTATCGATAATTGAACTGAGTGGTGAATCGAGTTCTTGTAGTTCCTCATCACTTGTATAACCTTTTCTTTGAACAACGGATGCGTTTCTACTCAGTTGAGATTTTCCACCAGCTTCTGACACCTTCTGAGAGATAGCGGTGGTGGAAGGCGGTTTGTATTTGACCGGAGCCGCTGCGTATGGGAAGCTGCTTGAATCGTCTCCTGATAATCTACGCTCTATAATGGACTACACCACAAACACACACACACACAAAGGCCTTCAATGCATGTTAAATACAACACAACATGTTATGTCATGTCGTGTAAAAATGAGATGTTAAACTTGTGTTTTTGGGTTTTGAAAATGAATACAAGTTGTACCTCAGCATTTACTGCTTCCAAAACAGCACCAGGAACTGAATCTGGACAGAATTCGTCTGGAGTGAAGTTGCAGAGAATCCGTTTAAGCAATGGAAGACTAATTGATGGGCATACCTAGTAATTATGGAAGAGATGGATCAAATGAGATGGAGGTTATTTTTTATGACAGTGATTAGATGTTGCAAAATTTGGTATGTCAAACTCAGTATGCATAACAACAAAATGGCCTTGATTAACAGAGAGATAGAATTTGTAAAGTGAACCTCGGTTCTAACTGATCTGTCCATAAGCATGTCTTTAGGTAGCATTAAAAGATCACTTAATGCATTCAACAGATGAAAACATTTGAGTTCACCATCATCTTCACCATGCTCATCCTCGGTCATCCCAAACCAATCAGAAAGCCATCTAGACCAATTCCCAACCTAAATAAAAAAAAAACACATCCATATCAAAATATCATTATATCAATAAATAAATAAAAAAGAATCAGTTTTTTTATTTTGTTTGTTTGCATACTGCGTTCTTGAGTTGTGCCCCAGAACCAAAATTCAAATCCCCAGCTGGAATAGGCAAAACCCTTGGTTCAACAATAGGATCTGACACAGGATCAGTTGGGATTTCATGGACTGATTCACGAAGAATAGCATTAAACATGGCTACATCAAGTCTAGCTACACATTGTTCCATTACCTAACAAAAAAAAAATGGAGGATTATTATATAATTTGAAGAATAGAATGATACCAAATCAAGATAACACAATAATACCATTCTTGCCAAAACAGGCAGACAACCACATTCATGGCCACCTGCACGAACAGGACAAAGTCTCTTGAAAGCATCATGGAAAGCAATCCTCCATAAATTAATGGAAAAGTTTCCCTGTTGTTGGTTTCCCAAATTCCCATTACATTTATTCCTATTTGTATCAGCTGCTAGAGATTGCATATTAGGAGTCAATGTCTGCACATATCAAAACAAAAATCATATCAAAACAATAAATATTACAATAGCGTTGATATAAATTCAGATTTAATAATTAATACCTACCTGCCACCAAATAGACTCAACAATTCTTGAAAAGATCCATGACTCAACTTTCTCAAGTGCAGATGTGAAACTTCTTGTTTCTTCCCAATCATCAATAAAATCCATAAAATCAGGTTTATTGATTTCTTTACTTCCAGAATTAGCCTTCCATGCTAGTGGTGAAGGGGTAGAACCTTCCCTTTTATAACTTGATTGACATGAACTGCCAAAAGCTTGTGTTACTATTTCCCTCAACACAACAGCGTTTGACCACCAGAAAGTCAACCTGTAGTAGTTACTAAATTGTAAGAAAAGATAAAGGAGAAGATTATTGGAAATCTGATTGAAAGATTGAAATCAATTACAGTAATTAATTACCTTGGAACATCATTGCCACAAGATTTTGCTATCAAAACAAGCCCTGAAGCAGTGTTCTTAGCAATGGTGGAGCGCTTTCCTTGAGAGTAGTGTTTGGCTGCATGAATATAAAGCCTGGAAAGTCGGCGTGCAGGTGTGTGGACTTTATGGGCTGAGCTACCATGCTCTGGTACTACAGAATATAAAGAAATTTCCAGAGCAGCAACTTCTCTCAACTCCTCTTCAAGTTTCTCAATTCTCATTTCCATTTCTTCAATCTTTTCATCCAAATTCTCTTTCGTTTTTTCCACTTCCTTTGGCTCTTCGCAAGTTTGATCATCTATTCCTTCGGATGACACTGATGAAGGTGCAGATGATAGCTTTGGATGAACTTTCACACCCCCTTTTGAATCTTTTATGCCATTAGAAGAAGGTGCTCTTTTAGTTGATGATGATATTGTTTTGTTTTCAGGAGGCTTTTGTGAGACTATTGGAATGGTTTCTAGTTTTTCATCCCCACTTGTGGTGGATACAGAATCAGTGACTGTTTCAGAGTCTGATTCATCTCGTTCTTTCTCTAAGTTTATGATGTTTTGTTGGTCAACTGATGATATAACAGTTTTGGGATTTTGAGATGCTTCTTCAGACTCCATGTTTGTGTCTGGTTGTTTTACAGGCAAAGGTTTGGCATCTGTGTTTTTTGTTCTTGGTGGTTGGTTTGCCTTATTCTCTCTGATTTGTGATCTTACAGAACGTTTTGGTTGATTATTTGTTGTTGATTTCTTGTCTGTCTGCTTCATACTTGCTATGTTCTTTCTTCAACTGCAAACAGAAAAGAAATCTCCAGTTACTGAAACCCAAATCCATTAATCTACTAAATATTATTATAAGTATAAACAGGGAACATGTGATGCAATTAATTCATCCATCCAGTAAGGCATTACCAACCACACAGTCCTCTCATCAAATTACTATAATAATCTGAGCTCATATGTGAAATACCTTTTATAACCCTGAGTTGTTGGTGCTGAGGAAGTGAAGATCAACAACGAACAAACCCAAACTTATCTTTGTTCAAATCTATAGATTTGAAGAGTGTAAATCTTTGAACTGCAAAAGGTTCGAATTACAAGTTTACAACAGATCTGAAGAAGACATAAGCGGAAACAGAGCAATGGCGGAATTCTAACCAGACATTGGCTCACAACAGAGCGAAATGTATGATCTTGTTTTCAAAAAGTCGGTTTCATTAACACGAAACCAATAGGTCATTAAAGTGAAAATTTAACAAAAGCAAAAAGTTGGATTGAACTCCAGTATCTATCAACACTTTCGGCGGAATTGGTAAATCGAATCGACTAGGAAGGAGTATATAAAATCTACTGAAGCATATCGCAAGCGAAATTTCAAATGGAGAATGAGAGCAACTTTGTTAATGGACAAAAAATCATATCCGCAACAGGACAATATGAAGAAATAGTAGCAATACAGTGCTAATGGTTGTATGCGTTCAATAAAGAACTACATGCCGAAAAAGAGAATCCGAAAATGGAAGAGAAGATCTAATCCTGAAATAGAGAATTCATAACACTTTGTTGTCAAATTTCGGAACGTAAAACGTGGAAGAAGACGACGACAGACGCGACAAAATGATGTGTATCCATTTATAGATTTTAGTAGCTAGTGCAATGAGCGTTGAACTAACCAAAAACTTTTTTGTTCTCTGAATTTCCCCTTTTTGTTGAGCTTCAAGCTTTTGAGGACGATGACAGAAGAAGCATCAAATGATGAATATAAAGCTGGCCTTGTGGTCCGCCATTGAAGAAATACAGAATCTTCGGGATTGGCAGCACAGCTCCTTGGACTCCAAAAACTTTTAGATATAGTCCTTAAATTTCCTCTCTCTCTCTCTCTCTCTCTCTCTCTCTCTAATCTATATATACAGGCGTATGTATGTATAGTCTCATCCTCTCTCTCTAATCTATATATACAGGTGTATGTATGTATAGTCTCATTCTCTCTCACACATAGCAGTCCTCGATGGTTTCTCTCTCTAGAAGTACAGTGCTGTTGCTGAATAAAGTGATAGTGAAAGATGAGAAATGCAAAACCAAATAAATCGTACGGCTATCACCATCCAAACTGGTCGTAATAATGATTTTAACAAATTACAGTTTTGGTCCTATTGTTTACAACCATCTTCACTTTTAGTCTACCTTTTGAATTCTTTACATGAATCATCCATATGGTTTCCAATAGTTGCACATATAGTCCCTGAGACTAACTATGTCAATTCCTCTCCGTTAAATGCATATAAAATGTCTTGATTCTTCATCTTCTATGGTGAGGATTAGCACCTCGACAGTCTAGTAGTAGCACCTTTGTAACATCTTCTTTTATCTTCTTTTTAATAGTACATTTCTCCAAAGATTTTAAAGGGTAGCATAGGAACTCTTACTACTAGCTAGTTCCGCCCCTACCACCCACTCAGTGGCGGACGCAGACTGTTTTAGTATGGGTGTCCCTCGTACTTCAAGCGGGTGCACCTAATAGAAAAAAAAAAATTACACTGCGTGTCGGAAATTGAGCAGTGGCCTGGGACCCCAAATGCCCCACTAAGGTCCGCCACTGCACTCACTATCTCTATATGGTTTTATGACGCACCCTGTACCATGGCGTCGCGACTTTCGTCATCTACTCCTCACTAAATCTTTCTCCCTCTTCTTCTCCTCCTGCTGATTCTCCTACCACCTGACAATCGTAAGGTTTACTTCTTTCTGTCTTCTTCTTAAGTTTGCAATCTAGGGTTAATATTTATCAAGAACTTCGATAACAATTACAATGAACAATGTTTCTTCTTTATGGGTAAGTGATTTAGCGTAGAGTTTTTCAAGAACTCTTGATTAGAAAAGAGTTTGTGTGAAATTCAAACACACGAATCAAGACCGGGATTTTGTTTATGTACTTTGTTATCAGGGTGGTAGTGATGGTGGTGAGGTTGATGGTGGTAGGGTTGGTTCGGTTACAAGTTACGATATTAAGTTTGAACTGATATCTTAGTTTGGTTACAAAAATATGAATTATGACAAATATTGAAATTAAGTAAAGTTGAGAGAACATTCCAACCTTCTTTTATAAAATGAAAAAGTAACGGTTTTTATACTTATTTCTCATAGAGCCCCACCAATTTTGTAGGCTCAATCTGCAGAATAGTTATTGCGGACTACAAATTACCAAAACGATGTCATTTTTGCAATTTCGTAGGTCCCAATAGCTATTTTGCCAATTGACCTTGCAAAATTTGCAGCTAATACGAGAAATATGATGTTGCCTTCCCTCCTTGAGGTTGAGGGTTCAAGTCCCGTTGTGGATATATGTGGATTTAAGGAGTAGTTTAGGAGTAGGTTAGATTTGTCGTTTCAATATATATATATATATATATATATAATATATATATATATATATATATATATATATACACACACACGAGAAATCTTTAATTTTTTTTTTTAATTTTTGAAAAATAAAACTTAATATTCTAGCTTAACCTTTTCTTTTTTCCTTTGATCAAAATATCTTATTGATGACGAAATATCTAATGTCTTTTGCGAATAAAATACAGAAAAAACTATGAATCCTAAATTTATCCTGATTATTAAATTTTAAAGTTTATGATTAATAAAGTTAAATTGTTTTAAGATAATAATAAAAAAAGAATCATTTTGGGTGTACTACTTTGGAACTTGAAAGCAATATACTTAAAAGAGAAGAAAAAAAAATAGGAGGAATTTGAAGCTAAATGCAAAATAAAATAAAATAATGGAGTAAATGAATAAACGGGGTGTTGGGAAAGTAGAGGAGTTACCGGTATAAGTGTATAACTGTGTCGGTGGAAAATAAATTACCGGCAACTCCCGGTCACGCTACGCGTTTCTTGATTCTTACGGTTACAAATATTGGTCGCTTCTGAGTTCTGTGCATACATCTTTTTTTAAGAATGGTCGCTTCTGTGCATTTGATTCAATAAATAAACTATTTATGTTTTGCCTTTTATAGTAGAAAAAGAATATATGACGTCAGTGACAAAGTATACTATAATACAAAAATCTTTAAAAATATTTTAATATGCTGCTTACGGAGTTACGGTCTTTAAAGTTTGAAATGCTATAATGTCAAAGGTGTAAATATGCAGATATGAAGGTGCAATTCAATTATTATTATATATATATTAAGATTGTGAAAGTTAGGAACAGTACTTGAGTACTTGACCAGGGTATTGTTCCTTGGGTTAGTTAGTATACCTGAGTTAGTTTAATCCCACATTCCCACCTATCCACTTTCCACCGCCTCTTTCTACCTTCCAGTTGGAAGACCTTCTACATCCAGTTTCGCCTCTTTCTACCTTCCAGGATCTTCTACATCCAGTTTCTTCCACAACTTCATTTTCCTCTCCCAGATTCTGAATGTCTCTCTCTCTCTCTCTCTCTCTCTCTCTCTCTCGGCTTCTCCATGGATGCTCTGCGTTTCTAGGTCGTCTTTGTCATTCATCGGCAACCTACTCCACTACTCTATGCACCCATGAGCGGTCCCTCTGTTTCCTTCACTGCAATTCCTCTAAATCTACCAATGGTCGCTTCGGTAAGCATCGATTGAAATCATCTGTTCAAACGTTGGTGATGGAAGGAGTTGATTGCAAGCGCTCGTCATCTACCCACTCTAGAAATCGACGTTTGTTTGCCTCATCTATCTAAGAGAAATCAAGTTTCGCCAGGTGAAACACATACAAACACACTCCGTCTTTCAATTTTGAACAACAAATGGTAGGGCATCGTCGCTCCTGGTACGACACCATCTCCTTCTTCCCCCCCCCCCCCCCCTTTTTTTTTTTTACCTTTTTGATTGTTTGTTTTTCATATTCCGTACCCTAATCTTGCATTTTTATAAAAAATGGTAGCCCTCTTGCTGTACAGATATGCCGAAATACACAACAGATCGATCAGGTAAATCCCACTGACCTCAATGTATCATCTTTTGGTTTTGGTTGTTTTCGATTCTGAATCATTTTCATGTTAGTTTCCTTCATATTTTGGTTGGGGCTGTTTTCAAGAAAAACAAACGATTACAAAACCAATTTCAGGAATTCAAGGTCATGATTTGCTACAAGAAAAACAAACCCAATTAGGTATGGACATCGGTTGTCCCTGTTTAAGGTTTACCACAAAATTTACCTATTGTAATATTGACTATAATAATTTATTGGTTATTTTACCAATTTTTTTTTTCAGCAGTGTCATTTGAAAAACACACTCAGTTTGTTCATCTGTCATATTGTGTTAATAGGCATGTTAGATTTTCATTAATATCTGTAAAATTTTCAGACACATACGTTAGGGCATCAATACAAAAGTTTATAAAGCCCAAGTACATATATGAATTCATGTTTTTAAAAAAATATTGATGGTTATATCTAATTTACAGGTGAAGAATGAAAAGAGATGACAGGATAGGAATCGAAAATGGTGCTACAAGCTCCAGATCTTCTTAAAATAGTTCACACCTCATTTCTTATTTTTCTTATCTATAAAAATATTTTTTGTTGTTAAACTACAAAAAATGAAAATATTTTACTTAAATATTGTTTTTTATTTTCTTTTTCAGGTACCCGTTATGGTGGTAGTCTGCGAAAACAGATAAAGAAAAGGGAGGTCTGTAATAACTGCACATCGCTATTGAATATCCAAAAGTATTGATTACCTTTATATAGTTCCATGTTTGATTTTTTAATAAATAAAGCTTTTTAAAAAAATACTTATTTATTCATGGGTAAATTAGTTGTAAGATCCACCAAATCTCCACCATTTTATTCTAAACAGTTGACAATTCATTGATTTGGTTGTCGTTTATAAGTAATTTCACTTCAACATAAATATGGTGAAGGACAAAATTGATTGATTAATTTCATCGTGCATTTGTATTCTTGAAGCAGGTAGCTTTGGGGCTTCAACTTTGACAATGGATAGCGGCTGGTATTATCCAATCAAGTAATTTTTGTGTAACCAGCACTATATACGTACAATTCAACGTTTTTATGGGTGAACATCTCAATTGAAGGTTTGTAGACTTTATTAACATTTATTTTCTTAATTTACAGATGGTGGAATCTGTGGGCAGATTTGGGAATCACACCATCATCTCCATCTTAACCTCCACGTAACAGACCCGCTTTGGAGCTGGCCACTTCCTCCTCCATACAGGTTTGTTTTCATATTGGATAAAATCGGTAAGACCAGCAACAATTGAAATATGTCTATGTGTGTGTCTATGTATGTGTTTCTATATATATAAATATTTGTGTAATAGTGTATATATGTGTGTATCTTTATATATACATGTTTCTATTTCTGTATGTGTTTTTATGTGGGAGTGTTTGTATCTGTGTAGGTGTATATATTTGTTTATTTGTGTAGGAGTGCATACCTTTGTGTATTTGTTTGGATTTATGTGTTTGTTTGAATCTTTGTGTATTTTTGTGATTGTATGTGTCTGTAATTATGCTTCTATTTCTATATATCTATGTGTCCAGATGTGTGTATTTGTGTATTTATTTGTGTAGAGATATGTATTACTGTGTATTTATATGTTACTTTTGTGTAATAAAAAGTATATTTCTAAAAAATGTATGTATTGATATTGAAAAAAAATAGCATGCTAAAGCTGACAAATGTGCCATCATTTACAAACCGTGGTCACTACCACCGTCTTCCGGAGCTGTCTGTTACTCAGGTATACATTTGGTACTCTTCTCTTCACCGGTAGATATGTCTTCTGTGAAACTGATTACTCAATGATCCCGAAGGTAAATTTGAATTTTTTATACAGATGTCCTCAAGCAAACTTCAGATGATGAATCAAGAAAGAAGAAAGATGACCACTTTCTTTGCATGAAAGACGAAACAAATTTAATGTTTCGTTATGAATTTAATATTTCAGGTTCATATTCGCATTAATTCTTTAATTTTGATCAAATTTAACAACATTTGTATCCCTTTCATCCAAGAGGAATCTGATTAATTTAATCAAAATATTTTTTTTTTCTATTTTCTATGACAGGAAATTGTTCGTATTATGTTTGAATTTAGAGATCAATGTATTCTGGAAGTTTGTAAATGTAATCTCTTATTTCTATCCATAATAAACCGGTCTTAATGAGACAAAATGACCATTTTACTCTTTACCTCTGCCCTTTTTTTTCTCCCAACACTTTTCACACTAAAAAACTCATAAGTATCTTTATAATTGATGAAATACAAGGATTTTTTTTATTTCGGAGTGCAAGGGTAAAATGGTTAATGAATAGTGATTTTTGTGTTCGCACCAACATAATAGCATCAGAACACATGGTTTCATTAATTTCATAAGCGCTTTGTACGTCATCTAACACATTATCTTCACATTTTGTAGGCTGACCATTGTCAATTTCAGAGAGGTGTATGTACAATGAAACCAATTTTTCTTACAAGCTGATTTGGAAGACGGCGTGACATAGGAAAATGCAAAACTACAATATGTTTCAGGATATATATGAAGGGTATTTCGGTAAAACTATATATTTACTTTTGAAAAACATAGAGTTTTGACTGAAGATAACGTTTTGGACACATTTTTAATAATATTTGTGTGCTGGAAGGAGGTGTTTATGATCCTAAATTGTAAGTTGTTCATTTTGAGTTCGTGGGCTCTTTTTGTTTTTGTTTTTTGTTTTTTGTTTTTTTTTGATAAACAAGGATTTTATTATTTGGGTAATTGTTGTTTATTCCCAAAACCCACCACATCAGTTGCTCATCTATTTCAAATTCTTTTATGCCACATAAATGGAAGGATGTTGATATATTACTGCAATTTGAATAAATTTATATGATTTATGAGTTATGGATTTTTTTTTTACTTTTGAGATTTTTCTATTGGAACAGGTTTTCAAGTAGATGTCGGTTCCAAAGGCTGGTGTATTTCCTTACATTAGTCTAATCAGGTAAATATTTCCTCAGTTGGACCTTAGTTCTTATTCTTGGTTACAATGATTTAGTTTTGAATCCCCTTTCACATGGAGATGTTATGTTAGAAATTGTACTATACATTCATGTGGAATACATCTTCATGTGTACTTATCAGGTAATCACTTTATGTAGTTGGATTTGTGCGTCCAACAATACCAATTTTTTAATCCAACATTCATATGAACCACTGAAACAAAATATTGTAGTTAGTTCTTGGGGATATATTGTTTCAATTTGCAAACAAGTTTCATCCATTTTCTATATTCATGAAATTTGATTATGTTTATATTTTCTTCATCTTCAGGTAACTCTGGGCAGTTTGCAGCATATATCTTTTTTATTATATATTTTGGATTCTTTTCTAAATTTCCCTTTAATATACTATCTTTATGTTAAACGCCTGATAGTTAATTATTTTCAGGAATGATAAACAACAGGGGAAAAAAAATAAAGGTTCTACACAACCAAACGGTCAGTAAAAAAATGATTTATGTAGGTTTTATTACTTTATTTTAATATTTGGTTGTAGGTTAGATAGAAAGCAGCAGATTATAGCAATTCCAGGTTGAGACATAATTATAAAATTTTATTTGCATTTATGTTGTTAGCAACTGCTGCTATGTTACTATCCCCTGTTTCGCTCTGGAGGCTTAAGGTGGTTCTTTCATCATTTTTTATTATTTTCTGGTTATATGTTTTGTGTGTAATCTATATCTAATCAGACAAATCATGAGAAAATTATGGCAGATTGTGGCAGGAAGGAAAGCAAGATTAAACGAACTAATTTAAGTGGATATGTTTTGTTTCTGTGGGAGAAAGTGCCAAGAGGTGGTGGATTTGATTGTGACATGGTTAGTTGAAGTCCGGTTACTGGATTTGTGGAAGGTATGCTTTAGTTAACGCTTTTCCCCAAAAAGAAAGAAAAAGAACAGACTTTTAATTAGACCAATTACCTTTATTTTTGCTGGCTTTTTTAGTATCTTTATTCATATCCCCTAAGCAACATTGTTTTTTCTGTTGATTTCTATAGATTCAAAGTTGTAAATTGATAGCAAATAACAGATGATTACTAGATTGTTGACTCAGTCATCATCACAAAATTGTTAACACTTAATCAGAAGTTTTTCCCAAAAAAAAAGTTACATCAAATTAATCAGGTTAATTTTATTAATATAAAAAGTGTGCAGGGGCAATATGGTCCTAAAAATGTAAAAACTGTTTTTTTTTTTAATATTAAAACATTATTCAGGGGAAATATAGTCCTAAAGCTATAAAAATTGATTTTTATTTATATAAAAATAATAAAAATTTGCCATTTTTCTGACCTTTGTTGATATTGATACATTCAAATTTGTTAGTTGGGTTTTGCAGATCACAGTTTCATACGAAGGTCACTCCCTTATTTCATTAAGATGGAAACCAGAAGGAATTCAAATTTTGGAGTTGGAATCACCATACATCAGATTGATGTATGTTGATTTTTTGTTGTACTATTATGCAATTTTTTGAAATTGTTGTCATTTATGTATTTTATTAGGGACTGATCATTTCTGATGTTATTTTAAAACACGCCATCTCAACATTTTGTAAGCATGAAATATTTCTTGAAATAACTAAAAGTTTTCCTAATTATAACATTATACTTCAAAAGTATAATGCTATAACAGAAAACCGACACCTTCCGTCCCGCGCAACGCGCGGGTAACCATCTAGTTATCATTATGAAATATATACCGAAAAATAACACTCATCAACCCTCTTTCATCTACAAATTAACATCAATTGCTAAGGTGCAATTCGATTTATATTCTTGCCCAACATTTTTTTTTGTTGGTGACAAATATGTATGTCGAAATAACAAGATGAAAATTGTTTTTTTAGTGTAATCATTTATGAGGTATTGTAATCAATTCTAATGCTAATTTTGATGTCATATATTGTTGTTTCTAATATATATTAAAAAACATTAAATTTTTATAATATACTAAATAATCATAAAATATATATATTAGAAAACGAATTGTTACAGTACATTACATCAACAACCCAACAAACCAATTGAACATGTGATAAAACTTAAAAGCCATAACTGTGGGAAGTAAAAACACAAACCTCTCAACCCGGACAAAAAATTATATCTTATTTTTAATAATTATATTGCATCAATATACCCAAGTTGGGCCTCTAGCATCCTATCATAAACACTTAGGGGTCGTTTGATACTTGCCGACTGAGTTAGAAGCTGATTGGGTTAGAAATTCTGACTGAATCTACACCTGACTGAATCCATGTTGTTTGGTTATGTTTCTGACTGAATTTGCTGAATGATCAAAATGACCAATTTACCCTTACGTTATGTTTGCAACACAACATGAATCTATTTAGTTATAGCAATATCATTTAATACAAAAGCAATTCTCACAATTAGGCTCGTGTAAACTTTTGTCAAAACAATTCTCTTAATTACAAAAATTCATCAAATCATATAAAATCATTATCACAATTATATTGATTTACAAAATGATTGAATTTCTACATATACACAAACTAATTTGAGTGTTTTCCTTTATTCCAAAAACATGAGTAACAACCCAGTTGACAACTTTATATATTGCATTCTTCAAGATTCAAAGAGGGTGATGATCTCTTCTATGAAGTACCAACATACATACATAATTCTACAGAATTTCTACTTCCTCCTTAAACCAATCACCATCTAACGCCTCAAACCACTCTGCATCATTCCCATTGTCTAGAACACATGGAAGGACAATTTTGTTGATAGCTTCAGTTTCATGGCTCCCTAATAATCAATGTAGAAAAAAAAAGGGAAGAACAGCAAACAGAAACTAACAAGCTTGAACCGAAAGCATAAGATTGCATAACAGAAAAAAAAAGGAAAAACATCAAAATCTGATTCAAACACAATTCCAGATAGAGAATCAAAATCAGAAAGATGAAGTAAGGATTTTTTTTTCCACAGATTTTGCCATAATATATTTTTTTTTCCACAGATTTGCCATAATAGGAACCAAAATCAGATACAACTCGCATATTCCAGATAGATTTCACAGCAGAAAAAAGAGGGAAGAACAAAAAAAATCGATATAAACACAATTTCAGATAGAGAAGCAAAATCAGAAAAACGAACCATGGTTTTTTTCTCAGATTTCGCATATCTAGGAACAAAAATCAGTTACAAGTCACATACTTCATATAGAGATGAACAACCAATCGATCAAGTTGTTTAAAAAAAACAAGTCGAAACAGATGCTTACTGTTGACGTAGCTCTGGCCGGAGAAGGAGGAGGTCGGACTAATGCGTCGATTTGTGTTTTGTTCTCTATCTAAAAAGGGAAGCTGGAGTGAAAGAATCGTATTTTGTTGCTGCATATTTTTCTATTAGGTCACGAGGGCAGATCGGGGAAGAAGAGGGCAGCGGGCTTTTTTTTTTTTTTTCAGTCAGCATATATTTGGAACGGACCGAGTAAGTTCTTTGGGTCAGCAATGCTGACCGAGTCAGCAAAATTTTGGATTTACCAAACAGTCGGACTGCTGACCGAGTGAGCAGTCAGCTTTTACCGGACCCAGTAAATTCAAATCAAACAGCCCCTTAGTATTCCGAAAAATTCATTGGTCGAGTGTTGTGATATTTTTATAGAAGATCTCATAAAAATAAGGAAGATCGTGGTCGTTGAATAATATATGTAAACATAGTTACGAGCATCTTATAATTCATAGATGTTGTACCATATTTTGACTAAAAAGACATTAATCTTTGTAAGGTGCATATCCTTCTTATGCAACATAAGGATTGCTTAAACTCTTCAAATTCCTCATTATGTTCTTCTTTCCACTTTTGAGGTCCTTTAAAGTTGTTTGTTTGTTTTCTCACTATCACTAAATAAATAGATAAAAAGTAAGAGTTTGAGCATGTATAATGATGTAAAACAACAATTCGTGAATGGAAATATCCTTCACGAGTGTCTATATAGAACAAACTTTATAGATTTTAAACAACTTACTTTGGTATGCGATATTTTGGTATCATTGTCTTTACATGGTTAGTAATTTTATTTTGGTTGCTTGTTTTGTAACGCCCCGTTCCTGGTACACATTTAAACTATTAAAATATTCATTTTGTAAGAGCTACTCGACGAGTTGGTAGCCCTAACTCGTCGAGTAGATGCCTGATTGGACGCGGGGTTTAAGTGGTCTACTCGACAAGTCGAAGCCTTGACTCGACGAGTAGGTCCATCAGGAGGAAACCCTAATCTTTAGGGTTTGCACCCTATTTAAACATCATATTTGGCCTCCACCCCAGCCTCTATCACCTCGAAACCCTAATCTGCCTTGAGTGATTTTGAGCTAGTTCTTGCCATTTTGAGTGTTATTGTGCCTTTTGAAGCTTGTTGAAGAAGAAGAAGATAGAAGGCTCAAACGGGAAGAAGTAGATCCAGGAGGTACACTCCATTTTCTTCATTTTTAGGTAATCAAGTCCCTAACTTGATCCTTCTTCTCTTATATCTATTTATTTCCATCTTATGAAGGATTTGGTTCAAGAACCTTAGCCCTTGGGATTGGGACATCCCAAGTGATGTACATCTCAGATCTGGGGTCTAGGAAGGGTTCCATGGCATAAAGGTGCAAACTTTATGACCATGGAGACCCCATGCAAGTTTTATATGCCAAGAATATGGTCTTTTTAGCCCTAAAAGGACCATGCATGGGAGGAAAAGCTCGGGACTTTACTTGTTCCACAGATGATAAGAGCCTAGATCTAGTTAATTGTGCCTTGGTTTAGTGTATTTGGCTTGTGGATCAAGATTTATGTCTTAAAGAAGTTAGGGTTTGGGTTAAACCCATTAGGAAGGACAAAGGACGGGTAAAGTTGGAAACTTTACCTTTAAGAGTGTATTTCCAGTATGTAGATAAGGTTTGGAACATAGATCTGTATGGTAGGAGCTTAATCCATTGAGATGGCTCAATCAGACAGGGGAACTCGGCGAAGCCCGAATCTCATAGTAGCCTAGAGTGGGCGGGGACCGATTCTCATAGTATTATTTGAGTATAGATATATGATTGTTTGGTAGATATATTTGTTGACTGTGTGATAGTTGTATGCATGTTAGTAGCGGAGTGTGGGCGGGGCCCGAATCTCCTAGACAACGGAGTGTGGGCGGGGCCCGAATCTCCTAGACAGCAGAGTGTGGGCGGGGCCTGAAATCTCGATGAGAGTGGGCAGGGCCCGAATCTCCATGAGAGTGGGCGGGGCCCGTATCTCCTAGTTGCATGTTATGTGTGTATGGTATGTGGTAGTTTGGGGAGACTCACTAAGCTTGTGCTTACAGTTTTCAGTTTGGTTTCGGTACTTCCACTAGCAAGGGGAAGGGCTCGGGATGATCGCATGGCACACACCACAGTTTTAGCCTGGGATGTTTAGACTCTGATATTTATATTCATATGGTTTGATACAGTTTTTGGACCATGTTTTGAGATACATGATTCTTGATTTTCTTCTTTATGATGATGGATGATTTATGGTTTTACTAATAGTTTTTAAAAAGAAATTTTTGGTCTGTATTTTTGGGATGTTTCAAGTTGGTATCAGAGCCTTGGTTTGAGGGATTCAGGCACGCTCTCGGGTGTGTCTGAACTCAAACTAAGGAGTTGGTATGAAAATTTTCAAAAGAAAATCATTTTTATAAAAAAGAACTGTGAGAAAAAGAAAAGAAGTTCTGAAAAGAGAAAAGAACTTTGAAAAAGATAAAAAGGGTGTGGTGCATGCAATCAGCCGAGCTCAAGTAAGTACTCCCAAATTACCCATACAAGTTTATGTTATGTTATGCTTATCAGCTTTATGAGAACAACATGCTAGATTAGGACTAAGGATCTAGGAAGGATGCCTTATTTGCCTATTATGTGTGTATCAGCTTTATGAGAATTGCATGCTAGTTTAGGACTAAGGGTCTAGGAAGGATGCCTTATGTGCCTGTTATATGTATCTCAGTTTTATGAACTGCATGCTAGTACAGATTAGTCAGGGATAACCTGAAAGAGATATGCTTGATTATGTTTACTCGATGCTCGAATGCTGCTTGCTTTGTGCTTTTAGGAGTTCTAGTTGTCTTTTACAAACTAGTAAACGAATATGTTAAGTTACATATTGCAAGAACTAAATAATTTCAGAAGGTTAGGTCTAACTCTATGTCGCAGCTGTTGTTTGAGTCCAACCGTTGTAGGGTAGGATCTCTCATTCGAAAAATTATCTAGCTTGAGTAATATGTAATTGTATTCGCAAGCTGGTTAGGGAAGGGTAGCAGGGACTTCTTATGCAGCTGATGGCGGAGAGTAGGTCGGATATTACCCTAGGGCAAGCGTAGGAAGAAATTAGCGCGTGAAGCATTAGCAGTAGAAGGGACTTGGTGGAGTCAAGGCAATTGTTGAGGAACGTACGGATAGATGTGGAAGGTAGTATGGGCCCGTACTACTGAAAGCAGAGGATCTGTACTCGAATCAACGGAGGCTGAGATGAATCCAGGAAACTTGTAGTATGTTAAATCCCTCGAGATATGATGAGTATCTGAGTTTGTTGTTATGGTGTATTTTCAGTATGGTGGTTCTACGCACTAGGCCAGTGGGCACTTCAGGCAGTGGTGAGGGATCAGGCTCGGGCTCTGGAGCCGGGCAGTTGGATGAACAAACGAGGGAGTTTATTTTGTCTGAGGTTACACGCAACATTCTAGAGCAGACTCATGTGATCTTTGGATCGGTCAAGGAGGGTATTTTAGAGCTTCTGGATGAGAAGTTGAGCGCTTTCCGCACTGAGATGGCGGCCATGATGGGGTCGCGCACACTGACTTTCAGGGAGTTCAGAGCTTGTGGAGCTCCCGACTACCATAGGGCACGGGACCCCATTGCTAGCAGCAGGTGGTTGCTGATGTCGCCAACGCGTTCCGCACCAGCAGATGTCCCGAGGGGGACAAGGTTAGGCTTGTGTCCTGTCTTCTGAAGGTCAGGGCACGTGACTGGTGGGAGGAGGTTGGGAGAGCTATTGGTGATGATACAGTGTTGGATGCGATGACCTGGGGTGATTTCACGACCAGGTTCAGGTCCGAGTTCGCACATGTTATTGAGGTGCATCAGCTTTATAGGGAGTTCCAGGATCTCCGACAGACGACTGAGACAGTGGCGGAGATTACCGCCAAGTTCAGGGAAAGGGCCCTTCTCGTTCCGAAGTACGTGGCGAACAAAGAGATGAAAAAGGCCCGATACCATGAGATGTTGAGGAGTGATATCAGACAGTTTGTGAGCCGGTCCAGCTGCAAGACGCTGGAGGATATGATAGCGAGGGCTCGTGAGAGGGAGATTGATTTGGAGATGGGAGGAAGAGGAAGCCAGAGGAAGTGTCTGGCATGGAGGGCTCGGTCAAAAAGCCCAAGGTAGATTCCCGAGGGAAGGGCCAGCAGGGCCGAGGCCACTGTGGCAAGTGCGGCAGGGTACATGAGGGGCCGTGTAGGGCGGGTAGTTCGGGCGGCTTCAAGTGCGGCCGAACTGGACATGTCAGCAAGGATTGTACTGCTACTACCACCACCACTATAGCATCTGATTTGATTTACTTTCAGTGCAATCAGAGAGGACACAAGAAGTCCCAGTGTCCGATTCTAACATCAGCAGGACAGGTGGTGGCACCCGCTCCTACCACTTTGAGGATTACAGACGGCCGTCAGGGCCGGGCAGAGGCGCCTGCGGCGAAGAGCAGAGCCTTCCAGTTGACATCAAAGGAGGCACGTGCAGCCCGTGATGTGGTTACGGGTATGTATCTTCTCCATTATCTCTTTATTATTTGTATTATTTACTCATGTTTGTGTGTTTGCCTATAGGATCGTTCTAAGTGAACGACATATTCAAACTATGGTACTGTTTGATCGGGGGCTACCCGATCTTTGGTGTCGCTCGCACTTAGCAAGCGATTTAGTAGAGCTCCGGGGGAGCTAGATTGCCCACTGGATGTAGAGATAGCCGATGATAGGACCGTCAAGGTTGCGAGGGTTCATAGAGGATGTACGCTACAATTTATTCGATCAGCAGTTTCAGTGGATCTGGTT